AAAAAAAAAGAAGAAACATCAGTGATGAGAGAGAATCATTGACTGGCTGCCTCCTGCACACCCCCTACTGGGGATCGAGCCCGCAACCCAGGCATGTGCCCCTGACTGGAATCGAACCCGGGACCCTTCAGTCCACAGGCGGACGTTCTATCCACGGAGCCAAACCGGCTAGGGCTCTCTTGGCTTTTATACTAGTATATATAGATTACATCATTGAAAACATTTAAATTAAAAAGTCTAAGACAATTTTAGTAGTCTTTGAGGGAAATATAACTTCCAATAATAGTAACAGAAGTTAATAGGTCATTAATGAAAATAAATTGTTTTGTCTACTGTGAGCCCTGTGTTCTGAGACTGTGATAAGCAATGTTAGAATTGGATTGGGAGTGATCCACACCCTGAAATAGTTATACCCCAGGGATAAATCAAAGGCAACCAGGGCCAAAATAGAAAAGCAGAGTGCCTACTTTTTCCCTTGACCTCATTAATAATTGCATCAGCTCATCAAACTGTTTTTTGAAAGGGTAAGATGAGAACATTTCCTTAAATTTGCTTGCAGAGAAGAATTTAGGTTTGGTTTGGTTGTTTGAAGTGGATAGTTAGTGTAGCCATTAAGCTTCACCATTGTGTGGTGTTGTCACTTCAGGTTCCTTACCCAGAGTTGAAGGCAAACAGGATCAGTCCTGGGGAAAAAAAAAATGAGCAAGAAAATAGAAAATCGTGTGGGAACTAGTGTGGGAACCTTTGTTTGGGAACTAGTGTGACTGAACTGCAAAGTTGATGAATTTTCTCAGTGTAGCTTCAGATTCCACTTTCCAACCCCTACTGGCTCGGTAGTCTGGCTGACAAGTGGAATTTGCCATAAGATCCTATCTAGCTTGGGTTAGAGGAAAATAAGAACTTTTCTTTTCCCACCAGTTCTTTGCCTTAATCTGGTTGATTCTTCATGGAGCCGCAAGGACTTTATAAACCATGAATTTCAAACTCTGCACATAAAACTCACATTTATCATTTCCTTTTTCCCCCATAGACCCATGTGAGAGATTTTGTCCACTCAACAAATTGCACTTAATTAACAAACTTTTCAGTAGTAAAGGTAAAATATATCTTTAATGCTGAACAAAGTTTTATAGGTCTTGGACCTTTGATCTGTTGGGTTTTTTGGTCAAGCTTCTGAGCGTACTTAAAGATGTGAGTGGGAAATGGCTGAAGCAGACCCACTGCACTCAATGCTCTGAGCTGAAAACACTATATGTCTGTTATTCCATAATTACATGTTTTATCTTTTCTAAAATGAATAAGTTATTTTTTAGTTCCCATTTTTACACTTTAAGGACAAGACCAGGAATTGGCCAGCAAACTTTATATGTCAGCAACACAAGTTTCTCTAAATATAACTAAGACATTCTTAGAAAAGTAAGTTTTAATTAATTTTAGGCCCATTTTTGACAAATTATAAATCATTTTAAAACAAAGTTTAAAATATAAACTTCCTGAAAAAATTTGTTAATTCCAATAGAAATTTGGGGGCATTCCATAAATATGCCCAGTGCTCTTAAAAAGCAATTCTAAAACCTGGGTTATTTATCCTTTAGCATAAATACCCTCCAGTGAGATATCTAACTTGACTAACTCTCTAACCTTAGCAGATACTAAATTAAATATCTTCCATTTCCAAAGGATATTACATAAAGTAAAAATTTGAATCTTTCCTTAATTATAACTGTATTTAAATAACACATCTTTTAGAGTATACTGGTTATCTACATTTTTTAGTGGTTAGAGGCATTGTTACCATAAATAACATCACGTTAGCAAATGAAAATCAATAGATTACAGTTGAAGAGGAGATTGGCCTTTGGGCCTTTGAGTCTTTAAAACTGCATATGAGAAAGACTACAGAAAGTGAGCAGAAAGGTAATTCATATTTTATTGTTAAAATGAGGATTTGGCACCAATTCTCATATGTATTTTTATGGCATGTTAATGCTTCCAAATAGTAATATCCCATTTATTACATTGACTATGTTGGCTTTCTCCATGTGTCACTAATACTATTTAACGAGCAAGTACCCAAAACTATACTAGCTAAATTTTCTTAGTCAATTATAAGTAACATATTTCATATTTAAAATATGTACACATATTTTCATCATAGTTTAACATCTTTTACAATTGATGGCATCTTAAACTTGGCAACGCTTTTTTTTTTCTTAAATAATGGTAGTCTAATAAATATATGGTATTTTGGATCCAACAAAATACTATAATTTGTAAGGGGGGGAGGTAGGCAGTTAAGGCCTTTTACCTAGATTAGTTATTAGAGCAAATAAATTCTAGTAATCACTTGTAATGACCTTTGGTATAATAATGAGATCACCATGCTAGAAATTGAATGTTTAAGTGACTTCTCAACTTTTCACATGTAGAGTTTCTTCTTAGATGTTTTCTTTTGCAATAGAAAATTGAGGGCAGAGGCAGATAAATGTAAATAATTTTTGCTGTGCATTTTTTTGTTTTTTAATTTTTATTGATTTTAGAGAGGAAGGGTGATGGATAGAGAGAAACATCAATGATGAGAGATAATCAATGACTGGCTGCATCCTGCATGCCCCCCACTGGGGATCGAGCCTGCAACCCGATATGTATCCTTGACTGGAATCAAACCTAGGACCTTCAGTCCACAGGCCAATACTCTATCCACTGAGCAAGACCAGCTAGGGCGGCTGTGTATTTTGTGTTACCAGGGAGAGGACTTACTTTAGCAGCATGTACTGGGGAAGTGAAGATTCCATTCCATCCCATTGTATTAAGAATATAACAAGCTGTTCAGCCTCTTTGCTAAATCACTGTACAAGACCACTAACTTAACTACAGTACTAATGTTCTGGATTCACATTTCAATGGGGATAAAATAGAGAGCCACCATAACTTGGGGGGGGGGTAATACTTTATATCTTTTTATATCTTTCCATGCAAACTAAAAGTTTAATTTTTAAACTTGGTAAAGGAGACACATTAAAAGAATCTTAAAACTATGGAAAAAAGACTTGGGGTCATTTTTCCACCAGCCTGGGTGCCTGTCTTTGTAAACAGAGTGCACCACACAGAATGGTTATGTAGGTTATTTCACATATGAAATAAGCCAGACATATGAAAACCTACTTCACAGATCTATAAGAATCCTCTGTCTCAGTGCATTGTTTACTGACATGAGGTTTCAGGCTTAGAGGCTAAGAGAGAACCCATTTTATTTCAGCTACTTAATGAAAAAGCAGGCTACTTTATATTAGGACCAAGATTAACGTTAGTGTTGCACTCTCTCCATACTGTAGCATTTAGCAATGGTAAGAATGGATTTACAACATTTAAAAAAGGCTAGTATTCCTTAAATAGTTTTTTTTGTTATATATATATAACATATATATATATATATGATGTGCCAAAGACACTTGTACTGATTGCTTATATGCTCTGTGTTAAAGAATACTGAAAACATTCTAAGAATCATTACACAATGGCAAATGCCTAGCAGAAATAGAATTTTAATCACCAGTAAAAATTATTTTTAATGCTTTCCCACAAAGAAGATACTGCATTTTAGCTATTTAGTTTATTATTAGTATATTATACTTTGTGCTTATATTAAATAAGTGTGTGTGTGTGTGTGTGTGTGTGTGTGTGTGTGTGTACCCAAATAAAGCCTTAAACGTAATTTTGACCTAGGAAAGTATTTTGACTGTCTACTTTAACATTTAGGAAGGAAGTCTCTTCAAAAAATATTGAAAATAAGGTCTTTTTAAAGAATACTGAAAATAGAGTATCTTCAAAGAGTATTGAACATAAAGATACAGAAACAAATCTACAGTCAAAGCTATGGTCAACTTCCTTCTTAAAAGAAAGCACAGGTAATAACAATTGGTTTTGGGTTTTTTTTAGATCAACTGTTGCTTCTAATTAGCCTTCTTTCACCATGACCTTTGGGATGTTGACAACTCTATAGGTCTGGGGAGGATCATGGGAATTGGTACTTTTTCAAATTGATGTAACATATGATTCTGATATGCAGTCAGGTGTAGGATCCATGGAAAAATATTATATGAAATGATAGTAATAGAGTATTAAATTTTAGAATGAATTAAAATACCTAATGAAAGCAAACAAGTTCCATTCATTCAATGATGGTTTATTGAGTGCTGGTCACTGCTTTAGAAGCTGTGGATGCAATAGTTAGCAAATAGGCAAGGTCCTTGCCCTTATGAAGTTTACATTCTAGTGGGAGTTAGACAGCCAACTATTAAAAATCAATAAACAATATAAAACAAATACAAACAAAAAAGCAACACAATGTCAGGTTGTGATGGATGTTACAATGTTAATAAATGGCCCCTGGGAGAGGACTACCTTAAATCTAGGGATCAGGAAACCTCTCTCCTGAAGCTCAGTGTGTGTTTGTGAATTAACTGAGGTGAGACAGTTCCTGTGACATCACACAGCCTTGAATTCCCTATTCTGATCTTTCCCTGATGACATCAGTGTGATGAGTCAATGAACAGGCTGGATACCCACTGGGAGATCAGAGTGGCTGTGAGCTGATGGACACCATAAAGGACACAGAATCAGGTAGCCAAGCCACCCTACTCTTGGAAAGACTTTTTTTTAGTTTGTGTTCTCTTAACATTGTTTTCTCTTAAGCTCTCCTAGATTTCCTCATTTTCTCCGTTCTATACAAGTGTTTCTATGTTATTTAGAGTAGCTCCAAAAGGCATCTGACAAGACTTCCCAGATATTCAAAATCTGACAAGAAAGGAATGATGTAGCACAAGTTAGTGTGAAACAGAGAGATATCCATAGAGCCAAAGGAGTCCTATAAGCTCGCTCAATAGTGTTTCCCAAAGAGATACATTTAGGAAACACATAGTAAACTTTTTAAAAAAATTACTTTAATAGTAGTATATTTTCATGTGTGTTGGGAAAAATAATAATATAAGATGTGGTTGCCGAAACCGGTTTGGCTCAGTGGGTAGAGCGTCGGCCTGCGGACTGAAAGGTCCCAGGTTTGATTCCGGTCAAGGGCATGTACCTGGGTTGCGGGCACATCCCCAGTAGGAGATGTGCAGGAGGCAGCTGATCGATGTTTCTCTCTCATCGATGTTTCTAACTCTCTATCTCTCTCCCTTCCCCTCTGTAAAAAATCAATAAAATATATTTAAAAAA